TTGGAAACAATGTGATTGGGAAATTGTATTGTTTTGGAAAGGGAAGAGGGCAGACCTCGGAGGATTGACATATGCAGAATAATGATCTTTTTCTCCACCCAAATTCCCTGAGTGTATTTATTTGCTGCCTTTGCAAAGCGTGCCTGGAGCCAAGCGGTGCACATGAGGAGCTGAGAAGCGCTGTTCTCTTGCCATGCTTTTGGTGCAGGAGGTCCATAGSCAGGAGTTTGCCAGAAGGCAGAGAACAGGGAAAGAACCAAAAAGAGACATGTTAGTACAAAGACTATTTTCTCTGGTCCCCATTTCTTCCCTTATTTCTTCCTAGCCAGGTGGACTAGGTGGACTTCTGGACAAGGTGGACATGTTGGCCAAGCCAGTATGAAACCCCATATAGCATTAGATCTTCAAAGACTTTTGCAACATACATAAACATGACTCTGGTACCTGTATAAATGCTAATTATGCTCAAAAGCAATTTATTGTGGATGGTGGAAGTGCTACATCTGTTAAAATCCCTGCCTGAAACTGCCGTAAATTTGGGGACCATATATACTAAGAGAAGGCAGCTCCCCTGGTGTGACCCAAAATACAGCTCACCCATACAGWGGAGAAAGCAAGAAGGTTTCTCTCCCTTCAGTTCCTTTACGTGTTTTTGTACTTGACGTATATTAATATCTTTACTTAACATTTCAAAAGCATCAAGGATATTAATAAACATTAAGCACTGGCTCAGGAATAATTTATACAAAGTGCAGTGATAGCAGATTCTGGCTGTGCTCACTGTTTTAAGGCATTTCTAATTGGGTGACGCACTCCCAGCAAAACCTCAACACAACCACAGGTTGTATCGCCAGAGGTGTCGGAGCCGAAATGCCACGTGGCACTTGGCAGTGATTCCCGGTGAGGAATCATCCTCACCCTGTCCCCTGAGTCCAGCAGGAAGGTTTTTGCCAGCTCTGGCTGCCTTTGGATAACATCATGGGGAGGAGGGATGCACTGCTGGAGAAGTGACCTTGGAGGGAAAAGCTTAAGAGTTAAACACAAGCTTAAGGACATCCAGGTTGAAATTTGCATTTTGGCCCCTGCTTTTTTTAAGAACAGACAAAAACAAATTCCTTCACTTGGGGGTAAGTTTGGGTGAATAATTTTTTACACTGAAGGTTATTCACAGTTCAATTGTTTCATCCCCAGGGGTAATTATTTCAGTTTTGGGTTAGGTCATATGAATCACAGGGATATTTTTTCTTCCTTCCAAATTGGATAGCGGATATTTAGAGTTGGAGACTACAATAACAAATAGCAAAGAAGGTCTATATGCTAAGTGTATTAAATCTGTAGAMTTTCTGCCCAAGATTTCCCAAATACCTGCTGGTGTCCCCAAATAACAAAAGTTGTGCCCTGCCAAAGCCTGACAAACCAAAGTCAACATTAATCTATATGAAAACATCTGCAAATCAAGTGCTCTTACACTGTTTGTTCAGCACTATAAAGTATATTAGCATTTCTTCCAGAAATAATAAAATCAAAACATCTACCCTCTGGAGGACCACTTAGCTACCTTATAAAATAAAACCACTTTGAGTTATGAAAGCATTACTAAGTGCTCACAAAAACAAGGGGCTCAGTCTTGTCATACCCAAGTYGGTGGCGAAATGCCCATTGGGTTGAGACGTAAAGCAAACGCAGCCGCTGGAGCAATGAGCTGTAATCTTCTTTAATCCATAGTATCAGCTGTTGACAGATATGCACCGGGTGATTAATAGGATGCTAAAGAAATGTTAACAAAGCAGTAGGGACTGAGAGGCTGTCATGAGAATTTCTTCATCCTGCTTGTGCATTCACCAGAGGCTCCGTCACTACGACACGCGACAGAGCACGTCTTCTCTCCAAACTCACTAGCAGGTCCAAGCCACGGTGTCGTCAGACTATTGGCAGCCGAGGGGTGGAAATGAAGCTGCTGCTCTGCTCTCCGCTGCTCCTGCTTAGAGAGCAGAGAAACACCCCAATGGGATCCGGCTGTCTCACGTTCTACAAACCTCCTTCACCRCCAAAACCTTCCTCGCTGTAGCTTGTGCTCTTCAAACACTTTTCTTGGAGTTTTTTTGTGTTGTTTTTATTGCTACTCAAATAAGCAAATAAAGGAAAAAAGAGCTGAAAGTTTATTTTTTATTGCAAAGACTATTTGCAGTGGTGATCGTTCTTCCTGTGAAGGTCCATGCAAGCCCCAGGATGTCTAGTATGACTCACTACTGAAACACAGAGGTGCKACTGGCCTTTGCTCTGATGCTGCTGCATGCAAAATGCACGGGCAAGGCTCATGCCTTGGGTCATCAGGACCAGCTTCATCAAAAGCCACTGCACATCACGCTTGCTCTTACCTAACATGCTTCCCACCACGAGGACCTCCCTCTGGGAAAGATCAGTCCTGCACCTAGCAAGGACTCTCAGCTTAATATTTCCGAGGAATCAATTCTAAAATACATGTCATTTCCAAGAAACTGGAAGGCTGGGCTTGGGGCATAAGCATGCCTTTAGTTATCCTGGGAAAACCTCTGCACTTTCCTAAGAATAAGCCTGTGGGAACCGCTCTGCCACGTCTATCTTCTGCCTTACACTTATTCCCTGGAGTGACRGAGACGGTTTTGCAGTGCTGTCTTACTCAAGAACTAGCACTACAAATCCCAAGACTGCGGGGCAAACCTTAGTATCTTAAAGAATACTACTTAATATGGATCCTATATGACTCATGACWAATGCAGACTTCCCCATAGATCTGTGAATCTATTTGATACCCTTATCCAAAGTTTTTCTACATTCTCCGTACAAGCCTTGACAGATTTCTGCAGGCAAAGATCTAAGAAAATAAAATGCCCAGGGTCYGTGTTTTTATGTTTTGATCCCTGATTGAGATTAGTTTTAATCTTTTCAGTACACACTCCAGGATTTTACTGAGCTTGTTATTTCATGGGATTATTCAGAAATAGGCCATGACATTTTCCAGTTCCTACTCCACCTTCCTCTCCAGGCGGGGAAGACTTAATATCCATTGCAGCAGCAAAACATTTAGCCCCATAGATTGAATACAGATCCACTAAAAAGCAAACTATCCTTCCCTCCTTTAACATAGAAAAGAATAGGAGGGATGTGCTATGGATGCCTTCTTCCAGCTTGCTGCTTTTCCATGCGACCTCCCAAGCATCTTGGGATGCAGAGTGAATCCACTGGCCACGGCAGCTTTCTTGTGGCTGCCCAAACCCTGCCTGGCCTGATGGGAATGACCATGTGTTTGGAAAAGCACATCGAAGAGCTGATAAGTGACATGCTAATGCAAGACCACATATATAAATAGATGTAATAAGCACTGGGGCACTTTGAGTACTGTTCGCTCCAGGTGGGCACACACAATTTCTCTTAAATGGCCTTCTTTCCGAGAATCAGACCGAAAATTACAGTTAAACCATTAAATATCAGGGCGGGGGGGGTGTTTATTTTTTTGTTTCTTTCCTTTTTTAAAGGGATTCACTCTTTCATCTTCCTCAGTTGTCACTAACTGGGTTGTCTAGTGTCACTCACCAGCTTGTGCGCTTTGAAGTGCTCCCTCTTCTTTGAGCACAGTGCATTGATTTGCCATGGTGCAAACGGTTCTGCCAAATAGCTGCTTCCTGGAAACACAGCTCTCCAGCCAGGAAACTCCAACGTCTGGAGAGAGGGAGGGGGTGAAAAATCTACCTGCTGTTTTAGTTGGTGAAGATTCTCGGATTTGGACCTTCCCATGTCTGCAGGYGTTATTAGGTAGATGTTTTTCTGATGGTCTTTGAAGCTAGAAAACTAAGCCTGATATCTGATATGTTTTGATTATCCTTTAAATCTACAGGAGAGAGAGAAATGAAGAGAGAGCAAGAGCAAGATATCACTAATATAGAGAAATAAAGTACAGCAATTATTCATGGAAGAGCACTCAATGACAGCAGCAACAAGAGACCTTCCTCCAGCCAGGCTTATATTCCCTTCCCTGAGCTGGGAGCAAGTGTAGAGAATAAAAAACAATATAGATCAAAATGAAGAAAAGATTGTGCAAGGCCATGGGGTGCTCTGAAGGAGGCCACYACCTTCTCGGCTGGCAGTGTTGCACCCTTGGCAATGACCTCACACAGACACGTGGACATGGGCCAGGCGATTTTGGCAGGACCTCAAAGACCGGTGGCATGGGATGTTTTGAAATAAATTGTGCTGAGTTCATGATGCTGGGGCAAATTTCAGCTTTCAGGGTGCGTGAGGCCCTGGTCCCCTCAGGCAGGGCAGGATGCATGGACAGGCAGACAGCGGGATGGCCCCAGAGGTACAGCGCAAACTGCAGCATCCCTCTCTCCGTGGCGAAGAGCCGCGGTGCTGCTGCCGAGCTGGTTAACGCAGAGCGGGGCACCTGGCCCGGCCTTGCCAGCGTTTTGCCCTTGTTCGTGAAGCGGAGCCTCGACCAAGCGCCGCGCGGCCCGAGCAGCTCGGGAGAGAGAAAAACCACCCGCCTTGTGCCCTGCGACAGGCACTGCCTGGGAATGCGGGGTGTTGTAAAGGTTAAGGCTGCTCTGCTTGCCCATAAATTAGCAAGCCCGATGTGCAGTTATTAAAGTATTCAGCCTGGAAGCTTWGGTCTAAGTGTTGACCACAATGACCTTCCTAGACAAGCAGGTGAAAACCTTTGTAGCATAGAGCAATTTCTTTAGGATATCTGTTCTCATTAGAGAATTGTAGAAATTTGTATTAAGTTCTCAGTTAATTCTAGTTCTTCTTAGGCCTCGACCTTGTCTTCCTCGCTTAAAATAAATTCCTACCATTTCCATAAAAGGGTATTTTGCATTTCTTTGTTTTTAACTAAAAATCTTCTTTGTTCTTTCACTTTCTTTAAAGGCCATAAGAACAAGAGGGGAACATCTTGGTTTAAAATTACTTTTATTTTACATGGAGAGAAAAGAGTAGTAGGAAAATAACAAAAATAATACCTGCCTGAAAGAGCACAGGGTAAGCATAACCCTGGAGTCCAGCAATGCTGCAGACAGAAGCAGGGTCTGCAGGCCCCTCTCAGGCCTTTTTATCCCCCCTTTTCCTTGGGACCAGCTGCAAAACAACTGCAGGTCTGTGCAGCAAGTAGCCATAAAAACACGGCTGTGGCAATGGAGAATGCCATGTGTAGGGAGAGAACTGGAAATCCCAGTGTGAAAACCATCAATAATGCATATACCATTAAAAAATATCTCCCTGTGGACTCCTTCCTTCTGAGAAGCTACTCTGCTCCCTGGATGGCAGAGTGATGGACCAGGACTTCCCCAGAGGGTACGGAGGGTCTGTCCATGACACACGGTCGTGTCATGGGCTCCCAACAGGAAACACAGAAGGCCAACCCATACCTTGCAGATCTCCTAAGGCTGRACTAAATATCTGGGGTGAAATCTTGGTCCCGTTGACTGGGGAGACAAAGAGCTCAACCACAGTATTGAGTCCGGCTGCATCCATCCTGGCTGCGAGTAGGAGGCTGCAAGCTGAACCTCTTTCCCACCTACCTCCTCTCAAATGTTGTCAGTTGCCTCCTTTCTACACTAACCCCTACTAGGACAGAGCGCTGCCTCTACACCCACCCCAGTTTGTCTTCTGCAGCTAGCCCAACCCCTAGGATTCAACTACGATCATACTGAGGTTGTTGTTGAGGATAATCCTCCCATCCTTCCTGCTGCTGCATTCAGGCTGGCAGAGAGCCTCTTGGAGACACTTCTTCAGGTCCATGGGTGCAGTGCCCAGGAAGTTTTTCGTCCCTGTTAGGAAATCTATCATGTGGCCTCCAACCGGATCCCCCTCGATAAAGCACTCCGTGATGTCCCAGTCAGACGGGAACTCATAAACTTGGTATTCAACCCCGAATCTCTTCAAAATATCCTCGATGTCACTGGAGGTAACGTAGTGGCCACTGTCAGTTAAAGGCAAGCAGTGTCTGTACTTCTTCCATAAGGTGGCCCATCCACTACTCTCTGTTAGACACAGCAGAAGGAAAGGTTAATTTTTCAAAACTAAGGCAGGAAAGGTCCAGCTAATGCAAGTGCTACATTGGTTTGAAATGTTCCTGCGCCACTGGCACAGATCTTGACAGAAGTAGGAGAACAGCTTTTCCCTTTCTTGGATCTACTTTTAAACATCCCTGACTGGGCAGAAGTAAAACTGGGGTCTCTCTCAACTCTCCTCCCACACTTCTCCTAGCTGTTTAGAGGTGGCTGTTGCAAGGGGAGATGCACCAACAGGGGTTCTCATGGCACTCATCTTTGGACAGGTCATTGTGACCATGTCTTGCCTCACTTTTGTGGCATCCTGCAGGACACATGCCGAGAAAAGCAGCCTGGCACCATGTGAACATTGCCTGACAGACACTGCAGCGTAACAGCAACTGGAGTGACAACAGCTCAGTTGTCCTGGAGTCCTGCTGCTCACCATGGGAGCCCAACAGTGGCTGCATCCTGCTGTCATTGAAGCCAGTGACAACATCTCTGCTGTCTTCAAAGAGGGCAGGATTAAGTCTCGCTCATTAATAATCTCAATTCTCTCTAGCCATTAATTTCACAACAGGAGGCCACTGTGAGCTAAGTGGCAACACATCCATCCACATCACATCCAGGGAAGCAAGAACATGTAGGTTATGCATAAGCAGTCCCATCAGATACTGATGTCCAAGAGATTAAGCATAAGATTGCATGTTCCCTACAAAATACAGTATCTGTTTTATTTAATTACTACAGGAAAAAAACTGCTACCTAAATCCCAAGATAAATATTGGTGGTTCTCATATTTCAAAGTATTTAAAAAAAAAAAAAAAAAAAGTAAAAGTCAAAAGCCCTTCTTACCTGACAAAATTATGATCAGGAGTTTACCATGATGGTCTAGGCAGCTGTGGAAAAACTTGATTGTATTAGGAATGTCTTCAACACGGTACAGCATCTGCAAGTGACAGTTACRTACAGCCATTATTCTAACTCTGCAGAGCAACGGGTCTGCAAAGGCTTAGATTCTTTATCTTCCTATCTGTGCTGCTTTAAAATGCTTTCCTCATTCCCAAGCAAGGAGATTAATGTATGGTTTAACCTGTACGGAGAAACATTRTGGAGGGCTTGAAGAAGGAAAAAGAAAAAAAGGACTAAGAAAAGGTGTTCTGATTCAAACTGATAACCAGAAGCAGGAAGATGGTGTTGAACTGAGTGAAGTATCTTTCTGCTGTCTGGAAAAGACAATTTCTGTGTAGAGATACCAATCCAATCAGAGACACACATATCCAATCTAGTCCAATTAAACCAAAATGTTATTTTATTTTTTTTCTTTTTGCAGCAGCAAAGGATAGTTGTTGGCCTCTGTGTCACCTTGGATTGCCTGGTGTCACCAGACAATCTCTGTTCCTGATCAAGGAGCCAAACAGCCATGCACAGCATCCACATTTGCCCCTACCAGCCTCAGCCCTGATGGGTTTGGTGCTTGCACCACTGCTAGAGCAATGACCACTCGCTGCAGAGCTGTGTGCCTCCCTGTTCTCCCCAGCTTGGAGCATGTAGTACAGGGAACATTTGAAGTTAATACTGCYATGTTGCTAATATTTGTAAAATATTTGTGTTGCTAAAGCATCATCTAAATCCTATGAATCACCTCCTGCATTACCTGAATCATATGGATAAAGTCAAACTTCTTCTGTGTGCTCTTCTCCATCACCTGTTGTTCATACTGGGAGGAAGTGAGCTGGTGCCAAACAAAAGAGACCCTCTGGAGATCGGGAGCTTGATTAACCAACTCTGCTCAGAAGCAGAAGAAAAACAGGATTTGTGACAAACCAGCAGGAAAAGCTCTTCATCCACATTGGCAGTCCTCACTACACACCAGGCACATGCACTCCAGGGTACCTCACCTTTGTATGCTGCCACGTGCTGTGGGTTGGGCTCTATGATTTCTGTGTTAACGAAGACCCCTGGGTGTTCAGCCTGCAGGATCCTGATCATCTTCAAATCCTGCTCGCCTATTTAATAAACAGAAATCCATTACGTAAAAGAGGATGGGAGTGGTGCTAGGARAACTCGCATGGTACCACACCTGGTATTAGGAGATCCTCAGAGCAGAAGTGATACCCTTTTTACCTTGGGACTTGTATGGTGATATCTAAGACCCTAATAGTCTTGCTTGGAGAATATATTTCCTGATAAGTCTGAGGAGGAGATAAGCAATAGTAGGGAAAATTCACAGTGTCAACACTCATTTGAGTTCTAGGACAAACAGGTCAAAATAATCAAAGATTAACCTAGTATTAATCAGAAAATGTTAGTCTTCTAACGAATTCMAGTTAAACTGCACAAATTCTGTCCACTCAGTTGGAGGCTCAAGGTGCCCATAACCAGGTATGGGATATTCGATGTGTGGGAATTGTTGCAGGGTACCAGGTCTTTCTTCCTTGGGGCCACAGTRCACACAGTCTCTGCTGTCAGCATCTACTAATCAGCTGTCTGGGAGCAAGGAATAGTGACTGTGACATCCAACTGTGCTCTGAGCTCCAGAGAAGTCAAGCATTAGTCTGCGTTTCCGTCCTACCAAACCTACAGCCTTTGCCTTTGACAGACAGCAAACTGTCTCYATCAGATTGGTCCTGATACACCAAGTCCCTCTGGTTCACTAGGAACTACGGACCCACTTGAACAGCCCTCTGATGAATTGCAGTCAGTAGCTCCTGCTGGGATCTAAATATAGTCCTGCCCTGTCAGGTATCACTTGGAGAAGTCCTGAAATGAGATACGGAAGCTTCCATATCCTTTCAGCAGACATATCACAACGAGAATTAGCCATCATTGCAGTAAACAGAATGCAAGGAAAAAAGAATTGGCCACGGCAGCACTCTATCAAGGTAAAAGGAAGGACAGGGGCTTTGAAACTGGAGAGAAACACAGAGGAGCCTTCAGGTGTGGCAGCTGCTGCAGGAAGGGGGAATCTTCCCGGGCTGTCCAAAGGCGTGAGGAAAGTGGTCACAGCGACCCCAGCTGAAGGCTAGTGCACAGACCAACATGGGGGTGTTCAGGGAGGGACATCGCAGTGGAAAATACCTTAGTTTTGCACCCAGGACTCCATCAGAGCAAGCTCCTRCTCTGAAACACGGGATTTCCCATGTGCTTTTGGTGACGCCTCAGGAAGGGTCATGCCAGGGCCAGGTGCCCGGGGGCTGCTGGCACGGTAGCAGCGTGGGACAAAAATAAACCTAAGGAGACACAGCAAAAAGGACCTGCCATGACCCTTCCTGGGGCTGGCCGGGATCCCAGCAGGCTGCCACGTGCGCTGGCAGCTGGGCGCCTGGGAAATCCCATTCACGCCTCTGGCAGCCAGCAACCCTTTCAAATCCCTTGGGAAAAGCCAGCAAGCGGCCGGCCGTATCCTGACGGTGTCACCCACTAGGACAAAAAAAAAAAAAAAATGTGGGAAATGAGAGCAGATCCCTTCTACAAACAGGCAGCCRGTGTTGGTGTGGAGCAACGGCTGAGGAGCACGTGCCAACTACGGGAAAGTGTGGGGTGCAAGGGGATGGGTGAGCTGGATGGGAGGCACTCCCCGTTGATACTTCATTCTGCTGAAACCCATTTTTGGGGGGAGTTCTGTGAAATCAGATTCCAAGCATGAAAATTTCAGGGATCGCACGTAACCTATTGTTCAACACCCAACTAACTGCAGGACCCAGCTGCAGGAGTTCAGCTATTCCTGCCCTGGGCACTGCCATGCCACCCAGGAGCAGGAGAGCTCCTTCATTTCTGCAACAGAACTGTTTTGGAGGAGAAAGAATGGGGACTGCACAAAAAGTTTTCTTGAATCAGACTTAATTTCCATTTTATCTTACTTCTGGTTTATATTACCTAATGCAAATGGTGTATACTTGAGAACCAAAGGATTTTTTTCTTTCTCTCTTTCTCATATGCTCCAGCATAGCCCCAGCTGGGGAGAACAATTTAATACTACTTTTCTTTTACTCAGGAAAGTAAGGAAACAAAYGAAAACCATATTACTTTCACTTGAAAGTATTAATGCTCACAATTCAGTGGAACATTTTTAAAAGCAAAAGACAAATCTAGTTAGACAAATCTAACTGCAGTTTCTTTCCTCTGCTTTTTATTTCCTGCCTCCCAATGTCCTAGAAGAAAAGTCAGTCGTTTTACCACTTAAAAAAATATATATATAGCATTTAAAGCAGCTTTTAAAACATTGCTTCCAAGTGACTGTTTCTCTGTGGGGGGAAAAATCATTTGCATTTAAGCCCCATTTATCACTGGGAAAAAAAGAAGAATAAAAAAGCAGTAAAAAAGCAGCACATCTTGCAAGTGACCCTGGCCCATGCAAGGGGCAGTCACCTCCCCAGGTCTGCTTGCTTGGAGCTCAAAAGGGTAGGCCAATCTTGGCCTCTAGGATGGCAATGAGAACGAGAGAGATGGGCCAAGACCCCATCTCTTGGGTCGGGTATTTGGGTGGGATCTGTTTGGGTGGAATAAATGTCCGTAATGTTCCTAAATTTTTCTGTGGAGTTTTGCAGATGCCCTTTTCTCCCTTGGAGCAGGAGCCTGCTCTGGGACATATAGACTCAGGAGAGAGTCATCAAGAGACATAGCCTAAGCTAAGACCATCACGTTGACCTTGCTTGGACAGGGCCAGTCCATGCTGGAGAAACGGGAGCAGCAGGGAAGAGAGGATCGCCTAGCCCCAGCTTGGGAACCCCGCTTGGAACATCTCTGCTCCAGCAGGGATTTTGTCTTTTAACACCTCGGCAGCACTTTCTGCAGCAGCTGGATCCACACGGTTCCCCCATCCTCTTACCTGTGCCACTGCCAACTCCCAGGACGTTCAGGGTGGATTTCCCATTGCCCAGCCTGAAATTACACGTAGACACAGCATGTTGCTTAACTGCACCGTTTCATACAATTCTATGCTTTAATTCTGCTTTAATTCTCTAACCTAGATACTTAACTGAGACTTGCTGTGCACATTGCCTAGAAATCTGAGCATCCCATATAACTGCGTGTGGGGAGGCCAGGCCCAACACTAGCAGAGTCCTTTTTCAAAGTACAGTAGACACATATATATGTACATATATATATACAATAGGCAAACATAACACTGCCCTTGCTGTGTCAGGGGGCTTTCTACAAGCCAAGGTTGGGCCACGTTTGTGCTTCCTGTAGTGCATGGACCTCACTTTACTCTTGCTGCACAAAAGCAGTGATTCCACAGGAGGGAAGAGGGCCATAAAGCCTGGAGGCTGGGAGCTGGTCGAGGAGCCTTGGCCTCGACACAGAGTGGAGACCAGGGGTTCTTGCCTACATATTTTTTTCTCACTGTGGGAAATGTAGTAACACGAAAAATTGCTCAGTCTGGAAAGGGTTTTGAATCTAGGGGGTTTTAAAGCTATCTGGAGGCATCCAGGCATAGTGCATTACATCTCTACTTCCCCAACGTGGTTTATCATTTGATACTTAAGCAATGCAAATCAACTTAGAAGAGAAATAAGGAGGCCTTAGGGGACTGGGGAAACGAAGAATTAGTCACTGGAAGAGAATTAGAGATGCAATACTGATGTGTGAGGAAGTCCCCAAAGCAGGAAGAGAGCACAYGAGAGAGATTTCTTTTGAAAAAGCTTTAACCCTTGGAAAATCAGCTAATGAAAGGAGATGGACATGAAAATGAGGTCTTGATTCTTTTCCTAATAAAAGCTGAGAGGCGGCACGGTGGATTAATTGAAATGTCTTCTGGCTGCATTAAATCTAACACTCCCTTAAGGGAGGTTCCCTTAAGTCTCCTTAAGGGACCCAAAATGGAAGCGCATTAAAAGTTTGTTCATCCGTCAGAAATCTCTTTGCATCTTTGCTGAGCTTCCCACTCAGCATCTCACTGTTCCTCCCCGTTTGTTGGCACGTCTCCTTACCCAGCCATGATGTGGGGCATTGCTTGCTCGTTGAATGCCTCCATGCACTGGTGCTCTGTAGAGTGCTCCAGAAACACCTTGAAGGCCTCCACGTACTCCTCAGACGTRAGACTTCTCATGGGAGCCACTGCGTATAGCTCTTGAGAAATAAGAATTGTGCATTAGCAGCTACAAGGCAAGTGCAGAATCCAGTCCCTTATAGGAAACCATTGCCAAGAGGATGAATGTGCCCAGAGCCCCAGTAAACACCCCACAGCCTCTACACACCTCATGGTTGGGAAATTGCTCTCAGGTGCACTTTGACATCAACGCACTTGTTGATGCCATATTTTCTATAAGTCTCACTGTAGAAAGTTGCCCTGAATTTCCTGAAGCTGCCAAGCTGAGGGCACTTGGGTTGCAGAAAGGGCAAGGTGGAGCTAAAGCAGTTCAGCTGAACGGGGAGTCTCCATCGGGAAAAAGCACTGTGCCAATCTCCCTGCCTTCAGTTGCAGTCCTGGCTCAGCTGTGGAATCTCTTGGCCTCTGCAAATGAGCAGACAGGCCATTTCATGGCAGACAGAGTTGAAACGGTTGCCAAAAGATCCTGGAATGGCCTGGCATGCTTCTCTCGCAGGACAGCAGATCCAACAGCAGGCAGACACTGCAAGGARCAGGCTTGTGCTTGAAGGACAGCACCTGGCACGACATCTTCATCCTTTTTTTTATCTTATTAGGACTTGCCTATTGGTCATCTGCATTTAACGTTACATCTAATAGGAAAATCTTGTATTAGGCCTCAAAAAAGAAAAGGATGTCTYACACGGGGTTGTGTAATCTTAAAACGGTCACCCAAGGTCTTTCCTAAACCACATGTCATAAGTAACTGTGTGGCTGGYAATGTGAATGGAGGTTCTCCAGCCAGCTATTTCAACCCTCAGCATCCTCGCAGCAGGCTGAAGGAGTCTTTACTTCTGTGGATATAGTAAATATTTCAAAATCTCTCCTCAACACATTGAAAATATACCCTAAAATAAACCTGAAATCACCTGGATTGCAGTCAAGGTAGATTTTTTTAAAGAAAAACAACCTTTAATTCTAACAAAACTAAGACATATTTGGTGGGTGGTGGGGTTTTTTGTTTGTTTGTTTTTTTCTCCCCAATACCTGAATCATGTGGAGTTGTCAGAATCTCTGCTTCAATGTTCATGCTGTGGAACCTGTTCCTGGAAGGGAAGAATCACATTTCAATTATTTGAGGGCTTTTTGAAGCTGCATTGAGAATGCAGAACAAAACAAAGATATCCCTCACTTGATAATCAACATTATTTGTGTTCTTCTATTATCACAGAAGAAAATCAAAACTTCTTAGTCAGAACTGCTTGTCCACGAACAGTAACATGGGACTTGCCATTGCTCAGGTAGCTGTTGGTGCATCATGGAAGATGATACAATCCATAGGACTGAAAGGGCAAGAGGTGAACATGTCATTTGCCCATGAATGAAATGTTTTTGTTTTTGTTTTTTTTTTCTGGTCAGAAACCCTGTTTTTCTCTGCCAAGGAAAAATTTCTGACATAAGCAAGAATAGAGTCCAGAGATATAAATGAAAAAATGTCATCATAAAGTTTTAAGATATATATATATCACGACTGAGATGCACACAACATATCATAAGAGGCAGCACAGAAGTGACCACAGGTAATGCATTGCTTGGGTTAGGGATGGCAGGGAAAGCCTAAGTTGTCCCAGAAGCACTTGGAGAAGTTGGGGTGCTGCCTGAAGACTGCATGAACCAGTGACATCCAAAATCCTTGATCAAATAACATTGGAAGAGCTTCTCCAACTCTCAAGGGGTCAGAGAGCCTAATTCTTCCAGTCTAACCTCAAATCTCTTGGCAAAATTCCACATTTCAGCAGCACTAAGCCTGAACACAGGCTCTCCCTACAAGCTCTGATTTGGCTGYAGACCAGTCCCTCAAATTTCCACTCGACCCTTCAATCTCTTCCTTACCTGGCTCTCAAAACAGAGGACTACTCTGTGCTCTGAGATGGACACACCGAGCAAGATGCTTTTCAGAAGAAACCTGGCACTTGGATGCTGTGGGGTAGCACCGCTTTCCTCCCACGAAAAGCAGGGAGCCTGAGGGATACAGGCTCCAGTTCTGACCAGTCAGATGTCTCCAGCCATCCCAGGAGAAGTGCCAGACAGCTTGGACAGCCTGTACACTATGAGCATGAAGGATGCCAAGTTAACTTTTCCAGCAAAGACTCACGGCATTTTTCCCTGGCCAGGTCTCTAAAATCAACRCTGCTCTCTAGGAAGGTGGATAGGCTTCCTCATCACTGGGAACCAAAAACCCACCCAAAAACCTACTCCTGGGTCTGTAGACCAGATGAAGACCATCTGTTGGGCTGGTCTTGCTCCTCCAGGACCTCCAACCCCAGAACGGAACCTGTGGCCACCTGCTCTCCCTGAGGACCACAGAGGTTGGACGGCAGATGCAAATCGACTCCTGGTCCTCSTCAGAGGCTGGTGATCTCCTGAGGCAGGAGGCTCCACGGTCTCTGCCGAGGTGTGAGGTCCGTCSTGACCGGCACGTGGGGAAGCGCTGCCCAAGGCCGCCCCCTGCTCGTGCCGGGGCCGGCTCCATGCTGGAGATGGCAGCACCGCGCTCGCTGCCGGGCTCAGGGCTCCCTTGTGGCCATCCTGGGGCTCGGCACCGCTCAGCCTCAGCTTAAGTTTGCGCGCCCACCTGTTCCTCTATGGTACGTCAGCTTTGGAACCCCCGGCGTGTTTCTTTCAGCGACCTCCAGAGCCGGATAAAGGGTTTATCCATGACAGATAAGGGCGCCTGTCAAGGCGGCCCAGGTTACCTGAYCGATGGGGAGAAACCCAAGCCAGGACGGAGAAGGGAGGCAGTAAAAAAAGAAATGCAAAGCACCAATTTTAAATAAAAAAGCATAATTTCCCCTYCGCGAGGCCGGCCGGGCCAGCTACTTCACCGGGCGAGTGACTTCACGTCCCAGCACATTTGGCTTTCGGACCAGTTTAAACCATCCCCACCCTCAGACAGGTCGCAGGAGCAGTAAAGCCAAAGCGCGGAGCCGCCGATCCCAACCCGAAGGTTCGAATCCATGAGGAGAAGAGGCCTCCCTGGGGAGTTGTGAGGCCCTGAGGCTGCCCGGGCTCCAGGCTCCTGCTGGCAGCACCCTGTGTCGGCGGATGAGCCCCGCTCAGCCCGCGCCGCTGCCGCTCCGCGCGCCCCCCGCGGCRGCCGTACCTCCTGCTGCCTCCTCCGTCCCGGCGCCCTTCGCCAGTGCGTTAGCCGCCGCGGTGAGGGCCGGGCCCCCCCGGCAGCGCCCGCCGAGCCCCATGATCCCGCCACAATGGCGCTTGTTCTGCCCGCCGCGGCGAACAAGGGCGCATTGTGCGCCGGGCCGCGGCGGCCTCGGCCTGCGCCGGAGGCCAAATCCGCGCTGAGCCGGCGCGGGCCGCCGCTGCACAAGTAGGTCGCCGGCTCCTCGCCTTGCTCACAGGCACTGTTCCCTAAGCGCTTCAGGACTGCTGCTCTCCGAGGCAAAGCCTGCCCGGGATAACCCTCAGTTCCTCTCCTAAAGGAAATATTTGGTGCAAAAAATGTCATTCTGCAAGAAGGGGGCTCCAAGAATCGGGCACATTGGCAGCTGTTTTGCAGCATYCGTTTTCCCCATGGCTAGAGACAGGAATAGTTCTCATGAAGAAACAAATTCTGCCCCTCATTAATCCTATTAAAGACCTAGCAGGTCCCGCCTGACGCCTGATCTTGGTGTTTACTTGACTTAAAGCTGTCCTCGGTAGTAGGTTATATCAYGTTCCCAAGCACAGGGCCGCCCCAAGTCCAGGCACATTGTCCACAGCTGAGGCTCTGAGCAGTCGGAAAGGGGAGAATAGCAGCAAAAAACAGTTCAGACACCCAGACAGGAGCCAGCAAAGATTATTCCAAGCTAGATTAAAATTCCTTCATAAATTGGCCACATGCTTCTTTCCCATTTTTCCCAGCCCACTCAAAGGTGGAGCAGAAAGAGCTGGGAGAGGGCAGGCGCTGGGTATMTTTTGCAAAATCTGAGCTGGCTTTTACACCAGTTGCACACTAGATGGTGGTGCAAGAAAGCTCTTTTTTTGCTTTTCTGCTCTCGCTCTGTGAAATTAGAAGTTGTCCCAGGATCCAGGTGAAAAAATCTCTCCTAGGCTATTCTTAAAAGTTAATTCCTGCCTTTTGGCAGATCTTGGGATAGCCAGCACTTGCCCCAGGGATCAGACTGTTGAAGAGCCTTTGAAAGAGATACAGAAATAGGCTCATTTCATGAGACCTCTCCAGGACTGGTGGGAGAAGCAAAGAGGAATCCCAGTGGAGTCTCAGGAAGGGTAGGTAATGCTGGAAAGGAATAGCTGGTACCTCTGAGATGCCTGGGAAATTAAGGCTTTGATAAATAGCCTGAAAGACAAATCCTCTACAGCATAAAGGTAAATCCAGAAAACTGGGAGAACCATTCAATACTGAGGGGGTGAAGCATCTGTCTTAAGCTGTAAGCTTAAAGCTCTGARCTAATGTCATCAGTACATAGTAATTTGTGTCCTAGGAGCCAAGCAGGGGATGACCGCCGAGCATTTTAAATTGCACCTCCAAGAATCGCTAGAAATTGATTATTAGATTTCAGTAAAGAGAAGTGCAGGGGTATGTAGATATAAATATATGTATATATATATTTACTTTTTTTTTTTTTCTGAGCAAGATGGTGGAAAAATAAACTAGCGCTGAGATAGCAACAGATTCTGCTTTTCCCTATGATCTTTTGAATGTTGGATGCTCCTTGAAACGCACAGATCATTCCCACCCCAGGTGCCCGCAGTCTCTGGAGCAGGTCCTGTGGGTTTCTCTGGATGTTTTTGCTTCTGTTTTTTCTCTCTGCTGCTTAACAGTCTCCTCATGGTGACAACGAAACATTTTCCAGGAAACCATTTGAGCTTTATGGATTAGCCTCGGCAGGCACTTGCAGGCGTCCATAAAGCAGGCCGAGAYGCTCCCGGGCGTGTTGCTAACCTGACGGAAGAATTGATCAAAACTGATAGAGTTACAGGGCCCCGAGTCCCTTTACAGCCTGCCTCTGTGCCGCTCGTATGGCCCCAGTGGAGCCGAGCCCAGCAAAACGCTTGCTTGGAGCAAGGAAAAATAAAAATAAATTAAAACCTCTAATTCCATGGACAGGTTTTCCTAGGAAAGTATCCCAAATCTATGCCYCAAAACTTGGGCTGGTTTTATCCGCACACCAAATGCCACATTGAATTTTTGCCCTTTTTCTTTCTTCCCCTGGTTAAATCATGACTTTGTGAAGGAGCTTTCCCAAAGCAGTGACAACATGTTTGTCCTCACTTTCTTCTACTGACTCTAGAGAGGGAATTAAAATTCAGGACCCACCACCAACACTTTAATTATTCAGCGTTATCAAGTTGTCATCGGGCCTATAATTATTTTCCAGTTTATAGGTAATATCGCGCACTCTGAGGGCTTCGATGATGGTAGGACAGCCCTGCAGCTGCAGCGGGCAGTGCCAGTGTCCTCCCCAACACCGTGGGCTGGAGGTGACACTGCTAATGAAACCCGTTCGTCCCCTGGCCATGAGACATCACCGAGATAGGGTTGTCTGCCGTTGGTGTGCGATATAATTACGATCCCTTGGTACCAATAAAAAATAATAGATTCAAAATGAGCAGACAGGATAGAGAGATAGCAATAAAAACTAAATAATATATGTAAAATGAGCAGAGGCGAGAGAGCAGGGCTTGGGGTATTGCATCTGCAGCAAGGTTGGGGTAAGGCAGTGAAGGTAAAAGGCCTCACAGGGGACTCAGCCTTTCAGACCACAGCACCGTGCAGTTAAGACTATTTGTCTCTATCATATCTGTACTGATGTTATCTATAGTGTTCGTAGACAAGGACCAAAGAGGYTCCTGCTCGGGTGGGCGGATTTGCAAAGCTTTGGGCTCGTCAGGGCCTGAAGCTGCACCCAGGACAGCAGCATCRTCCTCCCACCGCGCGGCGAAGAGCCACGTATTGGTGCCTGCCTTTGACTCGGATCAGTGCCCAGGGAAGCAGGAAGGGATTTGGGCTGCTTTTTAATTAGGAAAAGTGCAACGGCAAGGAGCTGAAATCCCCACTCTCTTGAGGGCATGAGTTGCTTTGCTGCTGATTTGAAGGACACCAGGGTTGGCCCCAGTGAGGCTGGACCACCCGTTGCAATCAAAGTTGCTGCCATTTTCTGTAATTTCTGCATTTCTGGCATTGAGGGTGGGCAGCGGGAAAGCAGGGAACACCTACAAGCTCCAAGGTGGTGGCAATGCTGCGTATTGATTTCTTTAATTACCATTTCCAAGACTCCTCAGCATCTCCACAAGGTCCTTCAGGAAGAGGAGCAGCAGCAGTAAAGACTGATTGACCCAGCAAGGATATTGCAAAGGGCAGAGCCKGGGAAGCAGAAGGCACATGTTCCCAATGGAGATCCACAGGGAAGCCCGCGCTGTTGGAAGGGCAAGGAAAAGTGTTCCTCAGGGTCAGATAATCAACACAGTGAAGAAAGTGGGAAAGCATATAGATGTAGTTATTTATATTACCCACTGATGTGCAGTGAGGTCCCACCGGGTCTCCAGGAGGCTCTGACAAGACACATTTTTACCATAAAATCATCCCAGAGCTGCCGACAGTAATGAGCTACCAGGCAAAGTCATTGGGAGATATGGCCCAGGACCTTGCAGCATGCAAAGATCAGGGTCCTTGCATGTCCACAAAAACCTTGGAACCTTTAGCTTTTATTTTAGCTGAGAACATGTATTGGTTAAACCAAGGGCCAGCAGATTTATGCTGACTAACTGACCAGCAGGTAGTAGATGGCCCCGAAACAAATGCAACATGAATTGGGGGAATCCAACCAATAAACAATAAATATCTACAGTAAAAAAAGAATAATAATAGAGGCTGCCTCTATGCAAACCCCAACATAGGCTCTGCTACAAACAACGGCACAACGAGGCCGCTGCAGACAGTGCTGTCCCCTTGAAGGGCAGCCCAGCTCTAGCTACTTAATGACCCATGTCACCACTTGCAACAGACACAGGAAAAAAAATGCCTAGTTCAGCAAAGGAAGTGCAGATGAATCTAGGAAAAGAGTTGGTGAAGTGAGCAACCAAATTCACCTAGTGAGCCAGTGTTTGCAAGAAGAGCCCATTGCAGGAACCGTGTGTCC